GCAAGTTTCGTGATGAGATCTCGGTCGTTATGGTCAGGCCAAGGCCGACTCACTAACAAAGTCGATGAGGTTATTCCAAGGCCCGTTAGATTTGTCCCAGTCTGTTTTAGGAAAAAGGAATAATTTCCTAGAAAAGCCTTGTAAACTTATTGTGACATTGATCATCAGACGCTTTTAAACCAAATTTTATACTGAGAACTCTAGACAAAAAGCCAAACAAGAACTACCAAATGAGCAATGTGTAGATGAAACAAGGTAAGAGGAACGATACAAAACTTCCCAAAGTATTAAGAAATTCAAAAACACAGAAGGAAAATGCTAAAACTCTCGCCCAAAACAAAAACTCAAAATCCAAAACTTTCAAGATAAACTCTTTGTTTCTGATTCACCAAAAGAAGAAAATAAACACTTATAAAGTGTATATAAACTGAGCTCTTTCAGATATAACTTAGAACTCTCAAGGTACGATGCTGTCTCCAAGAGACAGAGAAGCTAACTGATCAGCTGCACCACCACTTGCTGCTGTGCTACACTCCTCAGAACATCCATTGCTTCTGTAACTTTAGCTTTAAGTGCCTCTGGTGATTCCAGCAAGTGAAGTACTTCGGTTTGGTCCATTTCAAGAAGCATTCCCGTGACTTTAGCTGCGGATTCTGGCTCCAGCTGCTCCACAAGCGGGTATAGATTCTCACCAAGCATCTGTATGACGAAGAAACATAATAGGATTAAGAAAGGCACATTTTTTTTAGTTGTTCTCGCTCTGTTAAAAACAAATCATTTGACTTTACCGTTCTCTGTTGCTCTGGAGCTGCATTTGCAAGTTGTGTAGCCAAAGCTCCAATAGGAACAGATTGAGAAGCAGGCGAGTCACGATGATGCACACCACCACCACTTGACATGTCATATGGAACAGAAAGCATGTTTGGAGTAAGACCAGGCATTGTGTTTACATCTCGCTGAGGATACCGATACATCCGACCTCTTGGATGCATCTGGAGAGAATGCAAAATGTTAGCATGCTAAGGGAGTTAAACATGTGAAGGAAGTCTTGGGCTGAAAGCAAAACTTAACCTGCTGCTGCATCATAGGAGAAGGTTGTTGCGGTTGTGGAAGAGCTCCTCCTCTTCTACCACCACCAGGTCGCTACTACTGCTGCTGCTGCTGCTGTTGCTGCTGTTGTTGTTGTTGGCCTTGTTGCATCATAGGCATGAAGAAGTTTGGCATTGGAGACCCACCAGGTCTCATACCGGGTACAAGCTGTTGTTGATATCCGAATCCAGGCTGTTTGATACCCAGTTGGAGAAGAAATTTATAAAGATTGGAATCACATGTTTTTTGCTAAAAGCTTTGAGCTTTACCTGAGGAGGAATCATAGCAGGAGGTCCTTGACCATAGAAGAGTTGCTGACCCATTGGTGGACCACCTGGTGGATACATTTGCATCCTAGGACCAACCGCAGGTGGCATATTGACCGGCCTCATCTGGGAAAATTGAGCTTAAAATGCCAGAGAAGTAAAATTAAGCTCGATGAGAATGGGATTATGATCATCCTTTTCTAAGGATAAAAACAGGGTAAAGTTAACCAGACCTGTAACCTAGCTTTGCAGTCTTCTTTCCGCTGCGCAAGAGCAACATATAGAGGTTTGGTAACGATCATTTTTCCATTCATCTCTGTAATCTGAACAACGGAAAAGAAGACATTGTTAAGCATCGAGATCCTTCCAGAGAATATGAGATCAATAAAATTTGACATGTCTTCTTTATATTATAGTCACTTACAGCTCTAGATGCTTCCTCAGGAGTTGAAAATGCGACAAATCCAGATCCTCTACTCAAAGATAAAGACCCTGAAAGTCAAATTCAACAAAAGCTTTGATCTTTGACAATGAATCACTCATTGATTGGTAGTTCCAGAGAAGAAACAAGAAAAACTGTGAGTAGTAGTAGTAATAACCTCTTCGATTAGAGAAGGGACATTGTCATCTCTATAGGTGCGAGCAACCTTAATAACACGAACAAGTGCTTGTATCTGATTCTTCACCTTTTCGTTATACTTATCTATTCCAGGTAACGACGACGAAGAAGAAGGTGATCCTCTGTCTCTAGAACTCCTGATTCACCAAATCAGGAAAAAAAAAAAGACTTTACAGATCATAATCATGATCATAGCAAGAATCAAAATCAAAATCTAGGTCACCGGAATTGGGTTTCGAAATCAAGCGAGCGATGAAGTTAATCTTATTGAGAGTAGAGTCAGAACTCAGATCCATGGCAGAAAAGTTTCTAAACCCCCTAGTTTGAAGCCAGACTCTACCAACGAGCCATCACCAACTCCAAATCGAAGGTATAAAAAACGACACTCACAGATCGAAGATCCATATCCCAAATCGGAAACCTCTAAATCCAGAGACGAAGCCTCCAAAGAACCAAAAACGAAGCAATATCCAATAGGAACACTAAAATTGAGAATTCAACTCCGGCGGTCGTAAGGACACACACGTTGCCGCCGGAATCAATAGGAAGAAGCAAGAAAAGTAGAAAACCTATAGATCGCCTATGTGGGATCGAGAGGGGGTTTTTTTTTTTTTTTTTTACGATGTAATTTAGGTTTAGGTTTATGTTTCTTTCTAATATATATTTAAATTTGTTTCTCTAAAAACTAATTCAAAATGGCACAAATGTAAATAAAGATTTTAGAACGGCTTAAAAGACTTTTGGCAATTTTAGTGTTATTTGAGTATACTCTCTTTGATGGGTGTTATCTCAGTAATTAACTCACTTTTAGGTGTTATTTGAGCACATTTTATCTAAAAATTCACCATTTTTACTGAAAAAAAAATTTCCAACGGAAGGATGTAATAATCAATCATCCACTAAATATTAATCTGACAATTTCGACTTAGTACAACAATAAAATCATCTTTAATTATTTATATCTAAAACTAAAAAAAAAGTCAAAAGGCATCGACACAACTTTTAATTGCCAATTCAATATAAACCACGAGCACTGCTTCAGTCATCAATATTCAAGAATGCTTACAAATCCCAGAAAATATCAGAACATGAACAAGATCAAACGAAATCAAAATTATCAAATTTGGTTTCATTTTCAATTAGCGTTTCCAAATCTGAAATCAAATTGGATCCCACAAAATCTAAATCTAAATCACATCATAAAGAAACACAAACAATTGGATTCGTGTTTTGATTTTTTGGAGGTGAAAGATACAGAACTGCTTCGTTTTGTAAATGACAATTAAGAGAAAAAAAAAACCGATGGGTACCCATAATCTGATAGGGTAAACCCGTGTAAGATTCTATCGTTTTGGGTACCCGCCCGTTCTAAACCCATATTTTTTTTAACTAAACAGCAGGTTTTGGGGCTCAGTTTTAAACATGGGCTTTGGGTACCCACCGGGTTTTTACCCATCTTTAACATCTCTAGCCTACCAATTGAAACCCTACACAGTCTTCTATCTTTTTCTTCTTCTTACGTTTTTCACTAGCCGTTTCACCGTTTTTTCTTCTAAGATCTTACTTCCCCGTTTTTTCTTCTCTGGTTCGACTATGTCTCTGGATCCAACATATGCGATATTGTTCATTTGGGATGTCGAGAACGCTCGTATCTGTTTTCGTAGGGTACCAGGCATGATGAAAAATATTCTTATGTCTCTGAAAACGGTTGACGAGAGATATCATATAGTCAAAAAAGTTCTGGTAGGAAACCTGAATCTTGATTTCATCCAAAAAAATGGTGTATCTAAGGAGAGAAGGATTCATTTTCATAGATGTACCGCATAGATTACGCATATGCGCTGTTGAAGACTGCGGTGTTGTGGTTCAACCATCATGGAACAGAAGATTACCTTATGAAAGACCGTTTCATGTGGCTGACAGAATCATACTGGGTGTGATACTAGATGAAGCTCTTGAGAATCGTTTACCTCCCAATGTTTTATTGGCTTCTTCAGATTCTGATTTTACTGAACTATTGAGGACGTTGCTGTAACGGCAAAAAATTTAATAAGTGGTGGTCTACTGCATATTCTCTGACGCATATGTCCCTTACGAAATTCTCCCACTTATATTTTAGAGGATATTTTTGTACTGAATTTGTTGTTGTACCAAATTCTCTCTCTTTTCTTGCAAATACCCAACTCTATTATCATGTTTCTTAATTTTTTTTTTTTAAATGATATGAAGCTAATTGACTCGTATACATAACAAATCAGATGTTAAAGAAAAAATAACAAACCTCCACCCCTATTTATATAAAAAATTCATAATACAATTTTGTATAGCTATCAAGATTATAATCTTGAAATAGATATAGAGTTCCTTGATTTTTAGAATACTAGAAAACTATACTAGTTTTCGCCCCCTTGCTTATACTTTAGAGGATATTTTTGTCCTGAATTTGTTTTTGTACCAAATTCTCTCTCTTCTCTTGCAAATACCCAAATCTATTATCATGTTTCTTAATTATTATTTTTAAAAAAATGATATGAAGCTAATTAATTCGTATACATAACAAAGCAGATGTTAAAGAAAAAATAACTAACCTCTACCCCAGAGTTCCTTGATTTTTAGAATACTAGAAAACCATACTAAACTAGATATAGAGTTCCTTGATTTCGCCCCTCCCAAGAAAAAAAAAAGAAAAAAGAAAACTATACTTGATAACTTTAGTTGCATAATATAAATTTTTAATTATTGTGTTGACAAAAAAAGAAAAACCTATAGTTGATTCTGAGCTTGAAGGACTATATATGCCAAGTCGTGGCTCACAGGTGGCTGGAGTGTCAGGCTGCTGGGGCCTTATCATCGGCTTCTTCTTCTTCTCACATGCCTATGCAATCTGATTTTGAGAAGAAGCTGGTGGAGTTTTGCAAGAAAGTTAAGGAGATGGTCACAAGATCTATGATCGATTAATTTGTCGTTAATTCCATCAATTAATTTGTCGTTAATTTCACATACTTTGAACTCTACAATCGATTATATAAATGGTTCAAAAGCATGCTTTATTTGGGTTCCTTTAAAATCAAACCTAAAAAGACGAGACAACTTAAAATGTATTGAAGATCGAGAGGTATCTACGATCCTGAGTAATAGCAGAGGTTTTATCTTTTATCAATCGAAAAAGAACAAAGTAAAAACAACACGTCTTAATTGCATAGTAGGTAGGTCTTTTGAGTGTGATCACTTCTCATTTGCGCCCTTCGACTTTCTTAGCGTCCCTTGCTGCAATAAACCAAAACATTACAAGATCAGAGACATGAGTAAGAGTATGTATTCGAAACCAAAACATCGCAAAAGGTAAACAAACACTTCAGTTTTTACCAGCTTTTTCCTCTTCTCGCTTCTTGGCAGCTTCTTCTCTCTGTTGGCGAATCAGAGCCAAACGATCTGTAAAGAAACACACACAGGGGATAAGATAATCGATAAAGCCCATTTGGAAACAAAAAGAGGCAAGTGAGAACAAGAGATTTATCGTTGTTTACCCAAGTCCTTTCTTGCTTGTTCGGTTTTGCCTTGCTCTTGCAACCTCATGTATCGCTCATGAGCTCGCTGCTTCTCTAGCTCCTCTCTGCAGATTTACCAGAAAGACAATGATTAAGAGGTTCCTTAACAAGAACAGTTGAATGATAAGAGAGCTTAAGAGTGTTTGGTAGTAGCAACAGACCTTTCACGCCTTGAGAGTTCAGTGGTTTTACTAGCCTAACAAATGGGAAGAACAGAAAGAAATTCAAAGTTATTAAAATAATCATCCATACTTGAGATATACAGAAACTCACTACTAATTAAATAACTTACATCGAGGTCTCTTGCTTTTAAGGTCTTTGCTTTTACTCTGTTAGGATTATCAACTTCGATAACAGCTTCAGCTCCTTTCTTCTTCACCTGATATTATAAACCAAGTAAAGATGAATTCTCCCACCAATGATACTAGATGAGGCAACATAAAGAGAAGAGTTTTCACTCACATCAGCGTCATCTTCGGATTCTTCTTCAGATTCCTCCTCTGACTCGTCTTCGACATCTTCTTCGTATTCAGCTTCTTTCTGATAATATCATTAAAAGAACAATGATTCACCCCCCACACACATCAACAAAAGTATCAAAAATGTTAAAGAAAACTACAAAAGGTACCTGTTTGAATGATCGAGGACGTGCAGCAGATGTGCCAGCAACTACAAAACACACAGAGACAATAAGTAGCTGTTCAAAAATTCTAATATTCATCCACATAAATCTCAATTTTACAGCTTCAGAGAACCCAAAACTGGACCAGATTACACGAAAGCTGAATACTTCTAATGCAAATCCTATGATCATAGACCATAAAAATTATCCTAGCCAGAGATTTCAAAGTTTATCATAAAAGCAAAACTCGAAAACACAAAATCAAGCAAACGAAGATATAACACAAAAATATTATCAAAGTATATAACAACCAAATCAAACATAAACCATGCAAGAGCAAATCAAACCTAAACTTATGGAATACTCAATGATCATATATCATATCAATCAACAGAACAACAAAAATCTAAACTTGCACAGCAGAACAACAAAAAAAAAAAATCGAATTTTTTTTACCAATCCTTATGTATATCAACTATTTCAATTCAATGGAAACGATTAAACAAGCTCAAAATTCCAAAACTGCTAAAATCAAGAAAAACCAAATTAGGGCAATTACGAAAATTTCCAAAAAATTCAAGATTGATTCAAAAATCAAAACAACGAATCAAAATTACTTACGAATATCAGCAGCACTAGAGAATCGGCGTTGGCCGGTAGGTTTACCCTTGAACTTGCCTCTTCCCATCGTTGCAAACTTTTTCGGAAAGAGAGAGAACAAATCAAGAAAACGAAAAACGAAACCAGAGAATTTGATTCTTGAAACCCAGAAAACGAATCGATTCGAAAACGAATAAAAAGATAAGCTTTTTGTGAAATTAGTGGAGGATCTTGTCCTCCTCTCTTCCGGTTACGAGTAAAGAGACGAAAACCCTAAAGCCACCTGTGGATTTGGGGATTCTTTGTTTCAGTGTGGATTTTTATTTTTATTCCTCTGTAACGCGGTGTACTATAAAACCATCTGAACTTATAGATCGAACGGTCACTAACTCGTTTTGCTGTTAAATGATGAAAACGACGGCGTCTTGTGATAAGCGTATTCTTTATCGTAAACCAACAAAACGGCGTCGTCGTTTATTAATACACACAGTTTTAGGCCTGGACGTTCGGGTACCCGTTCGGTTCTGGTTCGGTTCCTGTTCGGTTCCTGTTCTTTCGATTCTAAAATTTAAGATCTATATAGGAATCAAACAATTTCGGTTCGGTTCTTGTTCTAGTTCTAATTCTTTTGGTTATGAGTTTTGATGCACTCATGACTCATTTTCATTTTTCACTATAAGCTTTGTTCGTGTTCTTGTCGTCACTCAGTTTCGCGGAAATTGCATTTTCAACAACTTAGTGCATAATAAATTAACGAGAAATGTCCACGTGGTTTCTACATGATTTTGACATATGAAATAAGGTGGTTTTCTTGGTCAAAACATAGTCCTCATAGTTTACAAACTCTATTATCATAATATGCAAGAGATTCCTACCAAAAAAAAATATATTGCAAGAGATCATGTACATGTTTGTATAATCAAATTGGTGTTTCTACATAATATGAATAATGAATTGAATCATATTATTTATTGTCTGTAGGAAATTATGGATAATTAGTTTAAGTATGGTTGCTATATTTTGAATAGTTATAATCTAACATTTTCAATATTAATACTGGTTAAATTTTAATTTTTCACTTATAGAAATGTGACAACTTAACACAACCTGAAGTTAAATATCATAATTGTTAATAAATCAAACTTTAAAGCGTTTATTACAAACTCGTTTTTCTATTTTCGTTGTAATCCTCTATCTTCAACATCTTCTAGATCATGACCTGCAAAACCCAAACATTAAAGTGAATAATAGATAACAGTAATCATACCCACAATTATGTATAAGAAATTAATAGTTTCACTTATACTAACATTTGTATACATTGGTTATCAACAAAAAATTGTATAAATTATTATTCTATTAAAACTAATTAATTGACCAAGGAAGCATGAGTAGAAACAACCTTCACCGTAAGGAATCTCCTAACCAATGACGTTATTATCCACCGGAACTTGGTTTTAGTTCTTTAACTCTTGACGGCTTTGCTTGGCATCACGAAGCTTATGTTTGAGCCTAAATTTTCGGTTGTGAAACCACTTGTAGACGTGTACGTCTTCGACTTTTTCACCAGAATTTTGAAGTTTGATTATGATTCGTTTGATATCGGTTAGAGACGGTTAACCGCCGATGAAAATTTCTTCGAGTATTTGAGCTTGATGTTGATTTGGTTTCCATTCTGGTTTAGGATCCGATACGACTAATTCATAAAAGGGTGAATTGTTAGATATCACTTACTATTGAAAAGAATTTGATTACGTAGCAAGTAAAAAGTGTGTTATTAGTTAATGTAACAAAGAAGAGAAAGAAGACATTCATATGTCATAGTCAAATCAAATATGTACGTACATATATTTGATGTAATTAAGAAATATATTCATAATGTTGGATTTGTGAATACATATATATATATATATACCTGGAGAAGATGGAGAAGAAATGTTGCAATCAAAGTTGTGCATGGAAGATGGAGTATGGATATCATCTTTGTTGGCCTTGATGATTCTGATGATCATGATCCTTATTAGAATTCTTGTTTGAGATAGATGCCATTTGGATGATGATGATGAAGAAAGAGATAGACAGAAGTGCTTAGGCTAAGGCAAGAGGAACACCAAGTCTCTATCTCCTTTTATAAATCATTATATAGCAATTTTCATCTACCTTTAGTTACACGTTGCTTACTACAACTAATATCGACCGGCAAAATAATTAAAGAGAAATTAAAATTAAAATTATAAAGCAAGGCATATAAAACACACAAAGATGTATACTAAGTTGGTTGTAAATATACACGCCTTACGCATACACAATCATAAAGATATTTATGAATGAAACTTGAAGAAGAAGAAATTCAACTTTTTACTTGTCCACATTCTTTGATTTAGATGATATACATAGTTAGTTGAGTTCAACTGAAAAAAAAAAAGGGAAAATATACACGAAGCAATGAGATTGCTAAAGGTAAACAATACACATATTCCGGTGGAAATAAACAGAAAAGAGAAAAGTAAAAAAGAAAAAAGAATGGTCTAATGGATTAAACCGTGTAATACATAATCATACGTGTGATTGATGAATCCTTCTCTCATAACTTTGCACACGAAAACTCTTTAAGATTGAAAGTCCTCTTCTCAAAACTTAGCAAAAGAAAGCTTTTTAAGAATATTTTTATTTAATAATCAAAAACTGTCACAATAATGAGTTTTACCTCTTTTTAAATAAGTGAAAAAACGAAAACCATAGTGTGAAGAAACATACAAACACAAGCATTCAAAACCTAAATAAACATTAAACCCATAAAAAACAAATCTCAAATAACGATTTAGCTCAAACATGATAAACGACAAGTTCGTTTTAGAGATGTGCTGCATCATACATTCAATTATTTTCGATTAGAAAAAAATACATATGGAACATCTTTACATAAAAATTTCAGTATTAACTAAACATATTTTCTAAATGGTTCGCCAAACTCTTTTTGGAATATTTTTTACAATATATAGAACTGTTATTTGCAATATTATGTTCCAAGATAACTCAAAATATATATCCTAAGGGGCAAATTTTTCACGTTATTTTGTCCATATCCTAAATTTCACATATATAAACTCTATAACTTTCTTTTTATAGGAGTCCACTTGATCTCTCACCTAGAGGCTAGAACATGCATTTATCTTCACCAGTATGTCTAGTCTACACGCATAAATGTAAAAAATAAACATATTGTCTTAACTTATATACATAATTTAGATTCATATTACTGTAGTAAAGAAAATATAGGATTTCAGATATCTTTTTCGATTAAGTTTCTTAATAGATATTCTTTTCTTTAAAGAAAACTAATAGATATTTTAGTTTTGTATATACTAGATAAATTATTAAACTATATTACAGAATATTGCCCAATGACGTGTGGAGTTTTTGTTGTTTTCATTAGGCTAAAATAAATACTATCATCTATAACACAGTGAAATATGTTGAGATGTTTTCCTTTGTATGGATGTTTTTAGCTTGATGTCTTATAAGGTAATAATTAAGAAATTTCTACTAAAAGATTACGAATTGCGTATGTTCAAATGCATAAAAACGTGGATGTCTATGTGTTTATAGAAATTGAAAGACACATATATATATGAGTCACATCCTAGTGCCATTTTGAATAAAGTGGTCTGTAACTTTGAGTCGGTGGTTGATACAATGGATGGGAAAAAAGAATTACATACAAATTTAGGAGTAAAACCTGTGTGCAAGAGTTTCCTAATCGAAAAAGTTATGATTTTAATCAAGTGAACACATAGAATAGGAAATATCTCGAAGACTTTTTTGAAAGAACAACATCAACATAGTAAACACAAAACAAAATGTACCTACTTAAACTAATCGATCTATAAATAGAGGAGAGACATTCAATCAGTCAATAAATTATTTCATTTTTTTGTTCATATATATTATTTCATGTATCGATTATTTTTCAATAATATACGAGATATATGCTTGAATTTATGCAAAAATAACTTAGAAGAAAAAAATCTCAGTAGAACAAAGCTAAAATATTGATGAATCGTAAAATATTTCATGGAGAATGCAAATTTACCGTGACATCAGCTATAACAAAGGAAATTTCTAAAAATAGTTAACAGTATGACTTTTTTTAACGTAGGTCCGTGCGATATATAAGGTCGTTGTAAGGTATATTATAACAAAAGCATTTTTCAAAAAAACAAAAAAAAATGGTATATTATAAGAAGATTATGGCATTTTAATTATGTTATGGACTACATGTGCATAGAATTTTGCTCTTTACTTACTTGATGAACTCTATGAGTATTATAAGCAACTTGGTTTCTTCAGGGTCGATTTTAGCAACTTCCTCATAACCTAAAACTTTACAAAAACAAAGAAGTTAATTTAGATAGAAAAAGAACGAAAGTAACATTTAGTCTCCCAGAAAAACAATTATCGAGAACTGCTTAGTGACGTGCCTAGTTTCCACCATTAGGCTTAAAGACATATATACAATCTATAAAACGCCGAAATATGCTGAAATGTTTTCTTGTGTATGGGTGTTTTGTAAGGTAATTAATATATAATCAACTAATTTATGAATTAATAAAGAGAACCCATTAATTCCCTTTTTTTTTTTTTGAACAAAACCCATTAATAAACCTAATTTATGAAATTTCAACTAAAAGGCAACGGATGATCAAGCATTTGCATGTCGTCAAATGAATGCGTAAGACGTGAATATCTGTATTTTTATTATGAATACAGAATACTCAACATAGTGCAATTATTTTTGGTTAAAGTGTTTTTAAGAAAAGACAAAAAAAAAAGAGAGTTGGTAGTTAATCTAATGGTTGAAAAATAAAGAATTACTATTTACTACAAATATAGGCGTAAGCACTGTGTGCAAGAGTTTCCTAATCGAAAAAAGTTGTGGTTTTAATCAAAAAGAAACAAAAAAAAAAGATATCTCAAAGACTTTTGTGAAAGAACAATTTCAACGTATTAAAAATATATATAACTTAATACGCTTTTTTAAAATAAAGAAAAAAAAAAAGTGTAATACGTTTTACCTACTTAGACCAAGCGCAGTGGCGCATGTAAGCGTCGGGTGTATGTAATTTAATATAGAAAAATAATGCAAAAAGTAGCTTTTCAACAACATCCACATGTAGAGTTGCATTCGGGTGTGGGTATTATAAAAAAGGAAAAAAATTTCTTGTCTCTATCCCTCTATCTCTCTCTTTTCTCTCTCTAATTATAATACTAAAAAGTTATTTACACCCATACTAACACATTCACCACTGTGGATGCTCTTACGAGTAAAAGAAGCTTCAAATTGGTTGAATCTTTTCTTCTCCAAGTTTTTTTCATAAATATTTCTATGACTGTGTATTCGTGATGCGGGTATATTTATACTATATATAGTATGCAATTCATAGGTCTATCAGTCTATGTGTTGTATATCCCTTGCTTGACATTATCTTTTAATTTTTCCTTAATGATTCTACCGTCGATATTAATTGCAGTGAGAGAGAGACGCGTAATAAACTGTAGATGAAAATGGTAAATATATTGATTTATTGATGGACGTAGAGATTTGATGAAAATGGTAATATATTGATCTATCTATCTCCTGCATCATTATAATGTCATCTAGCTAAAACAAGAATTATAATAAGGATCATGATCATCATAATCATCAAGGCAACACGATGATGATAATATCCATACTCCATCTCCATGCAAAACCATAATTGCAACATTTCCTCTCCATCTTCCGAAAGTATGAATATATATTTATGTATTCACAAATCCATCATTATGTATGTTTCTTAATAACATCAAATATACGCATGTATATACTTATACACATGTGTTGCATTTGAATATGATTTATAAATGTCTTCTTCTCTTCTTTGTTACATTTACTGCCAATAACATTTTTTAGTTTGCCATTTACTTAAATTCACCCTTTTATAAGTCGTAAAGATGTGTTTGAATTAACTATGATATACCAATTAAAGAATAAAACAAAACTTATAGTGGAATCTGTTTGAATTTTGATGATTTACCAATTAAAGTATGTGAAATATAATTTAAAGTTTATAAGATTAAAATTCAAGAACTCTCGGTGATAAAAATTTCAGTATATATACACATATACCCAAAACATTTTCCTTCATTCACTTTCATCAGAGCTAAGAAGGTCACAAATCCCTCTCTCTCTATACTTTTTTTCTTGAACCTTTAAGGGAAAAAATGTCAGAGAAAGTGATAGCTTACGGTGGTTCCAATGGACAAAATTTTGATGATGGTGTTTACGAGGGTACTTACGACGGTGTGCGTAAATTGATAGTTGGAGAAGACTCTCATGGCATCGTTTACCTCAAGATCCAGTACGTGAAAAACGGAGATGTAGTGCTTAAAGAACACGGAAGAGCAAGAGGAACACATATTACAGAGGTTTGAAATTTCATTTTTAATATTATTCATAATTCTCTCCCTCTATGATTTTTTTTTGCTCTTGCTTTTAACTGCTCTTTTTTTCTGTTCTTTTGTTTTGCTATGTCATTAAGACCGAGTTTGAAGTGAAGTGCCCAGACGAATACATTACGTCTATTTGGGGAACATACAGAAACGATGATCACAGATACAAATCTACCGGCGGGAGTACATCTGGACAGGTGTTTGTTTGCTTTGTTTCTTTAATCTCATTATTTAATTGTTCTGTTTTTTCAAAAATAATTCTGATCTTTTACTTGCTGTGTTTTCAGCCCGATCATGTTGGCTATAAACCGTTGGATCGTCTTTGCCACAAAGAAACTCAGGTGTTTGTTGGCTCTGTGTATTAGTCCGATCTTCTTTTAGTTGATTTGTTTTTAAATACAATAATTGTTCTGTTCCGTAGCTCACTCCTGCAGAAAAATACGACCTATATCTTGCTGCAAACATGGGAAGTCCAATGTATACGAATACAGTGTCAGAGCTTCAATTCAAAACATCGCACGGGAGAACCTCTGAGGAGTTTGGTATGCCCGGACCTG